GCACTCTGGAAGCCTGGAGAACCCTGGGCATTTTTTTTCCCGGGCCGCAGCCCATAGTTTGGGAAACATTGATCTAGACAGTGCTTGGTCCTGCCATGAGGGCAGGGGACTGGACTCAATGATCTCTCGATGCCCCTCCAGTTCTAGGATTCTATTATTCTATGACCTGAGGGTTCTAGTTAGTTGCTCACAGTTTTTCTTCCCACTGTTCCTTACTGTTTACTCAAGACAGTGAACATCTTTTTTAAAGGTGAGCTGCAAAGGAGAATTGAAATATGAGTTAGACCTAGATTCCCATGGTGAAAGTCCTTACAGACCTGGCAATAATGGGCATATGTTTTAACCAGAAATGGGCCCAAGTTGCATAGAATAGATCAGGACTCCCATATTAAATTGTCAGTGCTTGTTTTGCTGAGGGATTTGGCTTGGCCCATATAGAGCTTAGCTGGAACGAGCTACCAACTGCAGGAATGTTCAGATCTAGGGATTTGTTCTGGTCTTATTTTAAGGCTTTTCTATCGTTACTAAATCCTCTTACTATATTGTTGGCTCACTGCAAGTGTCCCAGAAGGTATCCCAGATGGGTTGCACTAGGATACTTATTTATTATAGTTCCTTCAGGGATAGCCTAAATGAATCAAAATACCAAAAGGGTTTTTTGAAGGTAGGGAATTAAAAACAAACAAACCATCAGTTCAAACTGCTTTAAGCACAGACTGGTTAGCAGGAACTTCTGTTTTACTTTCTCTTTGTGGTTCAACTTTTATTGTTTCCACTATGCAACTCCTTCTATTTAAGATGGTAGTAGACGTTCTGTGGCTAGCAAAATCCATTGTGCCTAGAAAGCACTTTTCATCTATGGCCCTCTCAGCCCTATACGAAGGAGTAAAGTATCACCATCCTCACTAGTAAAGTGACTTGTCTAAGGCATCCCACCAGACCAGTGGCAGAGCCAGAAACAGATTCCCCATCCCCCAGTTCCCATGCTAGTGTCATACCCACTGAGCTACGCTGGCTCTCAAGGGTGTCAGAGCCTGTCTGACATTCATGCATGGCAGAGCAACAAGGCTGATTTTCCAAGAATGCAATTCAAGCTTCCTGGCTTTTTTTTTTTTTTTTTAAAGTTGCAGCTGGTCTCTTGTGATTCGGCAGAAGCGAATACATGTGGCCAGAACAGGGGAAAGCTGAGAAGGCAGAAAATCTTTTAAGCCCCTTCACATTATTAATATATCAGATGAAGAAATACAGCAATTTCCTGAGACCCATTAAAGGCATTAACGTATTCATCGGAGAAAGCAAATTTAAGGTATCAAATGACTGCCCAGAAACAGGAACATTATCAATCAGAACCTGAGAAGTTAGTGTGGGAAGGAAAACGGACCATTTGATCCACTGACGCTCATCTTCTTAATACATTGTCCAGCCCCAGGAAAGCATCTAATTGCTTCTTGAATTACATCAGCATCTTAGATTAGTCAGCCTTGCCAGACAGTTAACTGCTGACGTTACTTGCTTTTTGAGCAATTCAATAGCATGTCAGATCTTTGGTAAAAGCCAGACAACCCAATGACTGACCCTGGATCAGCAGACCAGGAAGTTCTGGCACTTGCTCTGCTCCTGATTGTGAAACAGAACTGTATTTACTGGCATTATAGCACTGAATATTTGCTTTTGTCTACTTTGCATTGGTTAACTGCAATATAAACTAAATTATAAATCATTTTATGGGGATACTAACTGGTCTCCACTTCAGACAAAAAGTGCTCCCTTTTTAACACCAGTACTATCTCCCTGACAGGAAACTTACGCTCCAGTTAAGAATATAGGACTTACCATGCCTCTGGGCCATCACGGCTGGAATTCTGTCACCAACAGTTGCCAAGGACAAATGCTTCAGCAGCACAGAAGCAGGGGGAGCAGCTTTGCAACCCCCTATACAATAGTTTTGTGACCCGCTCACAACACCTATTTGGTCAGGACCCCTACAATTAAAACACGATGAATTTTCAGATTTAAGCTTAGGACCATAAAATTGACCAAAATGGAGTGTGAATTTGGTAGGACCCTGATCATGATTCTCTTCACTGTATAGAATATAAAAGCAAACACCAAGATGTGACTTTATTTCTTCCTTGTAAGGTAACCAGAAAGAAGTAAGCAAGAATGAACACAGTGCTGATTCCTGATGCTTTACTAATAATTCATCTGTTTTACTACTAGAAGTTTTGATGCTTGTTGTTGAACAAGCTGCATATGAAGTTCTGGTATTATTTTCTCCTTCATACACCATCAGATGCCTTCTCTAGGTACTCAGTCAAAGGGCCTTTTTCAGATTAATGAACACCTTGTGCTTATTTTCCCTTTTCTCTCTACATTTTCCATTAATTGCCTCACTATAAAAACAGCATCTATTGTTGACCTTCCTAGCATGAAACCATGTTAATTTTCACTCATGTCTACACCATTTCTCATTTTACTAATTCTGTCATGTAGGACTCATCACTTTATACCTCTAAAATTTGTGGCGTTGCCTGTGTCACCTTTTCCCTTGTATCTCAGCCCTGCAATGCAGCAGATCTTTATCTGTTGTAGGTTTTGCTGCAATGCAACATTACTTTGGGGGCAACACCTGAATCAATGATTCAGGAAAGATCACCTAAATGCCAGGAGATTTAGTGTAGGGATACATTTGCCCCACCTAATTCTTACTGCCCGTTCAGGGGTGTGGTCAGAATGCACCTCTGGTATACCAGTCTAAAGACTGGTGGATATGAGAGGTTGTCCATTAGCCTGGCTACCTGCATAACACAGGCCATTAAATTTTATCTAAATTTCTGCAGCAAGGCCCAGATCCGCAGACATTTAGGTGCCAAATTCCCATTGATTTCAATGGCAATTTGCACCTAAATATCTCTTGAGGCTCTGGAGCCAAGCCTGTAACTTGTTTGAATTATAGACTATCTTTTAGAAAGATATCTAGTCATGACTTAAAGCCTTCAGATGTTGGAGCACCTGCTATATTAAGACGTAAATTGTTCCCATAGTTAATTACCATCCCTTAATGAGCCCTCAGGTCATTGTACCACAGAGTAGTGGCTAAGTCATGCACATAGCTGCAGTGCAAGTGGGAACCTTGTGCCCAACTTTGCACAGCCTGGAACTCAGGGTAAGGTGAATCCTAGATTATCCCAGGATGTGTGGGGCTCAATCTCTCTCAAGCTTAGCTCATTAAACCATTTTGTGGCCAGCAGGTGGCCCCAAACTCCCAACAAATATACACATAGGCTACATCTACACTGGCGCGTTCTCACACAAACTCTTTTGCGGAAGAGTTCTTCTGCAAAAACTCTTTAAGAGAGCATCTACACTGGCATGTGCTTTTGTGCAAGAGCATCTGTACCAGTGTCGATGCCCTCTTGCGCAAAAAAGCTCTGATGGCCATTTTAACCATAGGGCTTTTTTTGCGCAAGAAATTCATGTTGCCTGTCTACACTGGCCTCTTGCACACAAACAGTTGCTCAAAAGGGCTTATTCCTGAGCGGGAGCATTAGAGTTCTGGCGTAAGAAGCCCTGATTTCATACATTAGAATGTCAGTTTACTTGCGCAAGAACACGTGGCCAGTGTAGACAGGCAGCAAGTTTTTGCGCAAGAGCAGCCGCTTTTGCACAAGATCGGCCAGTGTAGAGAAAGCCAATAAAGAACAAGGTATTATTTTGCTCCTAGGAGCACCCACTTTAATAAGTTACCATGCACTCTGAGACCTCCTGAATATTAATGTGTTAAAAGCCCCTCAGTTTAACCCTGAGCCAGCAGCTATTTAAACTTTGGATCCTGTTTACAAGGCCACTGCTAATAAGATGCCCAATGTATTAAGAGCAGCAGATTTATATTACCAGTTCCTATACATTTCTATAAAGAAAGTATTAAGGCTGCCCCTGTATGACCTATTCAAGCATCTGGAAGGCTGCCTGGTGACAAGCTCTATGACAGGAAGAGAGTCCAGTTTTGTAGAAGTGTAGCATATGCCACAAGTGAAAGTGGGTGCATACATGTATATCCTGATGCTTTGTTTACAACAATCAGAAGCCTTTCAGAAAGTCTAAGCTATTGGGCTTGGATGGCAATAATATCCCAGGTGTGGAAGGCTTGGAGTGGAAGGGTCCTCTTTGGAACAGGAATGAGGCTAGAAAAATTGTGGGGTAATGAGAAGTTATACAACTCCCAGTTAAGGCTAAAGCTTCACAACAGAGGGCCCACGCAAGGTTTCCCACAGCAGTAAGGCTTTGCTGGGACCTAGGCGTAGGACACGGTTCAGATATATTCCTTTAAGTTCAGGGAAAGGAAATAGCTCCTGCAATAAGCTTCTAAGAGCTATTTGCACCCTTCGGCTCTAGCACCAATTTCCTTTTTCAGCCCAAGTGAGTTTAAGCATATATTTTGGATAGGACTGAACTGGTTGTCAGGAACCCTGTTTTCTGGTAGAGTTTCTAGATGTTATTGCATTAGTTACATCTGTTGTATAAAGCCCACCTACTCAGAAGTATTTGGACAACTGAAGTCTTCTACAATGACAGGTATTTTTTCCTCATGAACATGATTGTGTTTTTCAGTAAAGGAAAGGTCCCTTTTTACATTTATTCATATGCATTCTTACAGAGATTGCCAACAGCATCCAGTTTGAGGTATCTGGTGATTTTTATCTTCAGACGCACTTTAGCTGGCAAGCAATACAATAAAGTACAGGAAAGGGCATTAAAGAAACCTCAGGTTTTTACAGGGATTTGTAAATGGTTTTTATTTATAGTAAAAGAAATAATTAAAATTGAAACCTCTATTTTATCCCATTTCATACTAGATTCTGGAATGTTATGTTGTAAAATGGGAGAAATGATTCTTAGAAGTGTAGTCTGATAGAGCAAGATGCTAAGGGTAATGACTTGGAATTTTGATAGTCTTTAATCATCCCTCAACATATTCCTAAAAAAAAAAGTCACCAAAATAGGCTTTCAACATTTTATTATGAAAGATCAAGACACTTTCTAGCAGAATTGATCACATTCCCTACCTGATGGCCTTCCCAAAGACCTTCTGCCTTTAAGCATGAAAACCAGCAGCTAATAAGAGTTACCTGAACAATATTATGGGTGAGTATTCTTTCAAGTTAAGACACAAATGTGTCAGATTCTTCACCCATCATAGTCTCTTCTCCAAAGTCTCCCTGGGAAATAAGAGCTATGATTAAATCAGATATCCACATAGCTAAATTTAAACACTAATTTCCAGAAAAACAAACAAACAAACAAACAAAAAAAAAACTCTACTCAACATTGGTCTCTAGGTACCCCTGGGTAACTGACACTGAAGAGCTCTTTCCAGTTTTAATCAGGCACATCCTCTTTTCAAAACAGGCACTGATATAGTCACGAATTAGATTTGTCATTCAGTGCTCAAAGATTCTTTATGTAACAAGCAAGCATGAAGCTATTTAAAAAAAAAAAAAAAAAAAAAAACACTTACGGACAGTCTCCCCTCTGATCCAAATAAAACTTTTTAAAAGTGAATCTCATGATACAGCCTTCCAGGAACTTTACAAAAATGAAGTTCAGAGGCCCGCGTACATTTTCCTTTTTCCATCTCCTACTAAGTCATACTAGTATCACATCCAAATTCTTAGCTTCTCCATGCAAGAGATATTTGAAACCCCACTCCCAATGCACGATCAGCAAGGACACGTGTTTCTTTCTGAATTTCTATCAATAGCAAAACAAGCTTCACGTTGAGCTATCATTCAGCTCTCTGGGCGCATGTGAATTTTACTAATGTTTCCCTCAGTTCTGGTATCATGATCAATCTTCAATAGTAGACTGTAGTCTCGTGTCAAATGGAATAAATAGTCCATTGCCAATCTAACCAAACTTGTACTTTGCAACTGCAGCTGTTTTTAGTGCCAGGAACACACTGTAAAAGAAAAACGTTTACAGGATACTAGCTTTCAGAGTAAACAGCACCCGAAGAGTTTAAGATTAATACATTCAGTTAAGCCAGAAACACAATAGGATGCAGGGCATTAGTGCAGCAGCATGCTACATACAACTGAGAGAACCCAAATGGGACAGTTTAAGTTAAGCTTGTGTCAAGAGTTTAAATCAGACTGGTCAATTTTTCTAAAATCACCTGCTATCCCGGAAGTTACTGGCACCATAATTCAACAAAAGAAGGGATTAATGATGAATACAGCAGATCATATTGTTTGTTGATTCTTATGAGCAGGGCTCGACAACTCAGCATATCTACTCGCCTGTGGCGAGTAGATTTCAGCCGGTCGCCCCATTCACCGTCGGCGCTCGCATGCGCAATGCAGGTCTGGAGCGTGCGCGGTGGGGGGGCTGGTGAGTGGATTTCACCACGGTTTGTCAAGCCCTGCTTGTGAGTATAAGATTTACTGCAGAACCAAGATGATTTTTGCTTTTGAAAAGCATTAGAGAGCAATTAAAATACATTTTAATTTTCTTTTGCATAATGCCACTATGAATTTGCCTATTCTCCAAGTTTCAGACTGCTCCAAAAAAATACCTCATCCACTCTTAATGGAAGCTTTCAGAGACCTGAACAGTCAATTCAGACATGTTAAAATGCAAGTCCTTTGACAGAGATGGGGTAAACAGTTGTGTGTGCTAAGAGGCAGACGGTTTTCGTTTATTTAATAGCCGTGCAAAGAGCATCACTTGAAAGTTTTATTTTAAATCCCTAAAGCCAGTGTGAACTCATGTCCAACACAGAAACTTCCTCAAGCTGGAAAAACATAAGTTCAGTTGTAAATCAGTCCATGCTGTCAAGATTTGAAGAAGCCATTATTCACTTCAGAGGACACTAATCCCTGCATCAATCTTTTTCTAGTACTAGCAAACTGTTAGAGAAACTATTTCAAACATAAATTCACTTAAAACAATTGTCTACAATGTTAATGACAAATCCCCATAATTTGTGCTTAGCTCAATTTGATAGTATTTCAGTACTTCCTAATTTTTAATCCACTTGAAATTCATTCACTCAGTTCAATTTTTGCAGTTGTTTTTTCACAACCTGCTTTTAAAGGAATAAAGTCCTTTTGGACCACTGTCGCAAAACCAGCCTTGAAAGCACAGTTGCAGACCAGTGTTCCTCCCTAGTCCTTGATGATGATAATTTTATATAATTTTATCTCCAGTTCTGATGCGGCCAGATATTCTAGAAACAAGTTGATAATTACTAGCGGGGTAGTGTAGACATACCCTGAGTTCCCATCTGTAAAGCCAGGTGCAACCAGTTTTCCAGGGGTATAAGGTCTGCATTTCTTACTATGAGGGTTTGTAAACTATAGGACTACAGAACTGTGTCTGGTTTTTTTCCTTTAGTTTTTGGCACCAACCCAGGACAGATTGCCAGGGTCCTGGCCCTCTGGCCAGTATAATTTGTGTTCCCTATTCATGTAATGCTGTGCAAGGGAATTAAGTGGGGGAGATTTGCTAACTAGGAGCGAGTGGGAAGGTGCAATGATACAAGACCTTACGAGGCATCTTGGGATGGAGCAGGAGGATCCTGATTCTCAGGCTCTGGTGGAAGAGCTGGCACAGTTTCCTCTTTCTTTTGCGCAGCCAGGAACTCATGAATCGCTTTCTCTATCTGCGGCCTGAAGATGTGGTTTAGTTTTGGATCCACCACCTGAGAAATAATTCTGTCCACTCCAGCTTCCAGCATCCCTGACCTTGGGCAAAGACAAAGGAGTCATTCAGCTACTCTGAGAAACTTCTCCTCTACCCCCACTGGGAACTCTCCAGAGCCCTCATGTCAGCTGCAATTAGCATTAACACGGTGAGAGTTGCAGCCCACTTGGTAGCTCCTTCAGAGAGGAGGCATTCCAGTCACCACACAGAAACCAGGACATTTCCGCTTATCAATTTTTCTATTTCCCCCCCTGCAGTGCTCATCTCTGACATCTGCTCTCCCAGGTAGTGAAATGACATACTGGATGGGAGCTGTTTCAGGAGTGCTCATGCTGAAATGAGGTCAGAAGGAGCAAACAAAACAAGCTTTGGTATAAACAAGGCAAACAAACGTGTCCGAAGAGGAGAGCAGGTAACACTCCAAATTGAGAGGAGGACTTCACCCCATTATCTTTGCCATCACCTATTCCTTGCAACAGCTGCTCTAGACAGGTGGTTTTTTGTGTGTTAAAAAAGTGCATTGCACAAAATATAAAGTGTGTGTTTTGAACGGAGGGCTAGTAACTGAAGTAACTTATTGCTTCAGAGACTGCATCAGAATCTTGGACTGTTTGACATAGGCAGTCTGGTGGGCTTACATCATGTCTGCAAGAGACCAGAGGAGGGGAAACAGAGACATTGCCTAGCATTTGGAAAAGAAGCCACAAGACTTAACACTGCAGTGAATGTTTGTGAGACTGACTGCATCCACTGCTTTTTAAGGCCATGTGGACATCAAGTCAAGCCTAATACAGTTAGATGAATGGGCATACTTATATCCAGTGATGGATGGGTGCACACGTACACATGTTGGCACATTTCAACTCTCATTCTTGTAGTGTTCATGGTAACTTAAGTGAGCATTTCAGCTGTCAATGCGTGTTAATGCCTGTAATTAATGGAGGGCAGCATTAACGATTTAAAAAAATTTACGCACGTTAATCGCAGGCATTTTGTATGTGCGGCGCTGCCCCTTTAAAATGTCACCGCAGCGTTCAAAGGGGCACTGCTTCAGCCTGGGATCAACTGTGCGGGGCTGCCCCTTTGAAAGGCCAGCACAGTATTTCAAAGGGTCAGCACTGCACAGCTGACCGCGAGTTCCCCGTGGCTCTGCCCCTTTGAAATGCAACAGCAGTGTTTCAAAGGGGGCAGAGCTGCACAGATGACCCCAGGTTCATCGCAGCATTTCAAAGGGGCAGTGCAATGCAGAACCCAGGATCAGCTGGAGTTCACAGCTGACCCCGGGCTCCATGCAGCACTGCCCCTTTGAAATGCCACAATGTCATTTCAAAGGGGCAATAGAGCCCAGGATCAACTGTGGGGCGCTGGCATTTCAAAGGGGAAGCACTAGGTGGAGCCCGAGATCAGTACTCTACACTTTGTAGTCTGTGTTGAAATTGAAATAAATATATTTGAAGATTTAGAAAACATCCAAAAATACTTAAATAGATAGTATTCTTACCATTGTTTAACAGCACGATTAATCACACCGTTATTTTTTAAATTGCACATTGTTTTAATTGCTTGACAGCCCTACTTTAAACCTTTAAAATTCTTTTGTAGTCATTGCATATACCAATAATTCACTCACCTGTGTTTTAAAGGGAACAAAGTTTATTCATAAGCTCCCTGAAGAACACTTATAAATGTCATTTTACTCCAGGAATAAATATTAATACAAGTGTATGCCTTCCTAATCCATTACTGCCAGTTTCTGACTGTTGGTCACACTTCTCTCAGGCTACATCTAGACTACAGGCTTCTTTCAGAAGAAGCTTTCTGCGGAAGAGATCTTCTGAAAAAACTTCTTCCGAAAGAGAGAGGTCACACTGCAAAAGTGCATCGAAAAAGTCATCGGCTTTTTCGAAAGAGTGCCCAGACTGAATGGATGCTCTCTCGCATGTAAACAATGATTGCTATGGATGGAATGGCCACTAAGGCACCTGTGCTTTCCCCTCTTCTTCCGAAAGAAGTCCCTCTTCCCTAACCACACGCCTTTTTGTGAAAGAGTTCTTTCACAAAAAGGCTTCTTCCTCATAGAACGAGGATTACCAATGCTGGAAAAACCCCTCTGTTCTTTCGATTTTCTTGTGGAAGAATCGAATTGCAGTATGGACGGCCATTTTTCCGACAATTCTGTAGTGTAGACATACCCTCTATGATGGTGCAGTATTTTGCGCATAAGCCCTTTCAAGCAATACTGTCAAATACAAAAAAATCAGTACAACTAGTGAACTTCTCCTCTAATCTCAGGGTAATCAGGGTGAGTGAGGATTGTTACTTATTAGGCCAAGCAATTTTATGGGAAATAGACATCTGTAGTTTCTGCTAATTGTACGAAACAAAATTAGAATTTCAGTGCAAGACACTTAAATGTCTTGATGTTTAGTTATTTCCCTTTTAAATTTAAGTCTCTGATCTATTTCCCTGATTCTTCCCTTCTCATCCCTTTGTCCTATTACCACGTCCCACTCCCACCCACCCTTCACCTTTACTGAGGTGAAACTGAGGCCTCAGTTTCAGACACCAGAGGCTCAGGAGAAATCTACAAATTAAAGATTTTTTTCCAAACTACACATACTTGTTTTTATAAAACAGAGTACAATGGAGTTTATTCTACAAGTCTGCCAATGGTACAAGCTGCAGAATTAACTAGAGTGCAGACAGTGTTAGTAAGACTAGTACTCTGCTGAAGCGTGTTTTGTTTGCATTTAAATGAAAAATATCCCAAACAAACCCCCTTCCCCCACACACACGCAAAAAAGCCCCAATGGCAGGGGTGGGCAAGAATTTTTAATGGGGAAGCATGCCAAGAATTTGCAAAGTGGTCGAGGGCCGCACTCTTCCATGATATTAATGGAGGAGGTGCAGGGTCTGGGATGGAGGTTGGGTGCAGAAGGGAGCTTGGGGTAAGGAAGGGAGTTTGGGTGAAGGAGGCAGTTGTGACCTGGGGCACTGCACTGGGGTGGAGGAGGTTGGATTGTGACTTAGAGCCGGGAAATGTGGCACAGGAGGGGGTGCAGGTATTTGGGCCGTGAGCTAGTACAGGAGGGGACTGATCTGGGGCAAGAGATGGGGGTGCTGGATCTGGGAGGGGGTACAGAATTGGGGGGCAGGTGTGGGGAGCAGAGGTAAGCTCTGCCAGGAGACTTACCAGCCAGCAGAGGTGCCTGAATCAGCCACTCTGCCTGCCCCACCCCGCACAGGCTGCAGCCATATGCTTTGGAGTCCCTTGTGCTTCATGCCTGCCTGTTATTGAAACAAGCAGCTCCTACTGGCCATTTACTGGCCAGAAACCAGCCAATGGGATTGTGCTAGGGGTGGGAGCAGCTCCTAAAGATTCCGCCTTCCCCTTCAGACTCAGTTTTTAAAGAAAAACCACCCCACAGCAGCATTTCTGAGCGGTGTACGGGTGGGGCGCCTGGGGCAGATCTGGCCTGCGGGCTGTATTTTGCCCAGGCCTGCCCTATGGCTTTAGTGTCCTATCTGCTTGTGCCACCATTTGCTGGATGGAATCAGACTAGCTGAATTTGCTTACTGCCCTCTAGCAGCTGGAGGTTAGCATATAGCAAGTAATAGCAGCAATAGCCAGCTTCTGAGATCCAATAAGAGATCCTTCTTTGGCTTAAGTGGTAGATGCCTGTTTCTAAAGCAGAAGAGCACAAGTTCTATTCTGAAACTCGCATGCAGTTTAGCTAGCAACCATGATGTTACCTGTATGATGCAATGATTGGATAAAGAATGCTACACTTCAACAGCATATTCAACAGTAACAGATTAGGGATGTAAGAGAGCAGTCTACTTGATTACTCTTTTCCCCTCCCCATTGCTGCTTCTGTGTCAGACACAGCAAAGTGTGTGTGTGTATGGGGCAGAGAGGTGAGGGGGAGAGAAATCAGGAGCTGGTGCTGGGGGAAGCGGGCTCCCCCCAGCATCATCTCTGTGGCATGGAGGGCAGGGGAGCAAGGGAGGCAGAGCTGCAGCAGTCCCAGAGTGAGCCAGGACTGCTTAGTCCCAGCTCGTGACGGCCCCAGAAGCTACCCCTGCTGTGGCTCTGCATTTTAAATGTAGTAAGAGCCTACTGGTCTCTTACTACATTTAAAGTGCAGAGCCACAGTGGGGTTAGCTCTGGCTGAGTCCCAACTCATGCTGCCTGGCTCCCATGCTGGGAGCTAATTCTGTTGCAGCTCCGCAGTTTAAATGTAGTAGGAGCTGGGCTGTCACCTCGGAGCTGCAGTGGAGGTAGCGAGCATTCCCTTATTGACTAATCAAGTAGGCGATGGAAATTCCATTGAATTAAAGATTATCTGCACTTTAACATCCTTGTAACAGACACACGTCTTAATTTCCCACTGAAAAACTGCCTGTGTAGTCAAAGAATGTTGCTGTGACGTGAATTGACTCAAACTGCATTCACCTGCTATAAGTGAAATCTGGGAGGACACAGAGGACAAAGCAGGGTAATGCAGCCCTTAATTTTTCAAATGGACTTGGCCAGTTATGGCAATGACATGTAGACTATTGCAGTTTTCATTTATCAAAAACATTCCTACTAATTTATGGAATGCTGCTTACTTACTGAATCACACTCTGTCTCAGACCATTTCGTAACTGGTTTTTGTTCATTGCTGGGTTCCACTCCTGTTTGTCCAGATGGGTAGATACAAAGTTGTCCACTTTCTGCCTCAGATTTTGGTAGGCTGGCTTAAAAAAAAAATCCAGCTTAACTGAAAGATGTTTAAACAATTCCCTACAAGAATCCTTCATAATACATTTTAGTGGTCTTCTACTGCTTTGTTTATCTGGCTTTTCTCTTTTAGAGACAAGGTGGTGAGGTTATATCTTTATTACACCAACTTCTATTGGTGCAAGAGACAAGCTTTTGTGCTACACAGAGCTTTTCTTTAGGTCTGGGAAAAGTACTCAGTATCACAGCTAAATACAAGGTAGCACAGATTGTGTAGCACAAGGAAACCAATAAGTTATAAGGGACCAAAGTTAGTACATTATATTGTTGTAAAACAGCAGAAATCCTGTGTCTTCATTATGAAGATGATTTTTAAGATCTAGCAAAGTTATTAATTTAAACTCCCATGCTTAACTTTTGAAATTGTTGTCCAGGTCTCATTTATTTTATTTTTTCTAAACAAAAGTAAGCTTATTTTACCTAAAAGTTCAAAGTGGTCATTGCAAAGAACAGTTTCTAAATGATGCCATCAATCTACTACTGTGGTTTTCAAAGTTTAGGTCACATCCCAGTAATGGGTTGTGGAATGTCAGGCACTGGGGCTCATTGCTGCAGAGTGATCAGTAGGGATGTTAGCATAATAGTTGTGTAAACAATTAACCCATAATCCAAGGTTTATTGGTTAATCCTAACTACATGCACCTCCCCCCCAATTCCTCTTCCCCCCCCCCCACAGAGGCAGCGGAGGGGGGGGGAGAGAGAGACTGTGCCTGTGAGGAGTTGGCTTTTTAAGTTGATAGAGAGGCAGCAGTGCGGA